AAGCCCTAAACCCTCAGCCCTAAACTCTAAACCCTAAACCCTAAGCCCTAAGCCCTAAACCCTAAACCCTAAAACCCTAAACCCAACCAGGCTGAGCCCCCTTGAACCTCGCCCGAAGGCGCAGCCCCGCTCCCTTTGCGGAGGGACTCCTGAAGCAGGCTTACTAGGGGCCTTAATGATAAGGAAAGGGTTTTGGGGCCCATTACACCATACTTGCCCCCAAACTACTATAGGTAATTAGTACTTGGAGGATCATGTGACTTAGTAACTGGGGTTATAAATAAGGTAACTATACTTATAACCCCGATTAGGGTACTTATAACCTTACCTACTAAGTCCCATGACCCTCCAAGTAGCAAGGCTTTACGGCCTCATTTAGGGTTTAGGGTTTAGGCTTTACGGCTTCATTTAGGCTTTACGGCTGCAGGTTTGTGACTTCACAGGGCATTAGAAAGCAAACACTAAAGACCCCAATGACCCAGACCCCCAAAAGGATCTAAAAAATAGATCCCCTAATTAGGGACCCTAACTACTAAAGGGTACTTTAGAGGAACCCCCTTAGGGGCTCTATTGTTTAGATCCTTTTGGGGGTTTGTGGAAGAGCTGCAAAGACCAAAAGTTATGAACTCCACAGAGTTCCGGAGTTGATTGAAGCAGGCCAAGCACTCTAATGTAGGGGCCTTAATAATTAGAATAGGGTTCCTTTAAAAAGGGTCTATAAGAGGGCTACTATAAGAGTTTAGGGTTTAGGGGCCTTAATAATTAGAGTAGGGTTTTGGGGGTTCCTTAGTATAACTATAGTATAATATACCCCCCAAACCCGATTATAATTATGAAGGCCCCTATTTAAGAGTCCTAGAGGCCATGGGCTGCCTGCGTTGCCGGGACACGTAATGTAGGGGCCTGAATAATTACCTCTTTTATTTTGGGGGTTCCTTATTACAATTGTAGTAGAATGGGCCACAAAACCCTATTCGAATTANNTATTAAGGCCCCTATATTACATCAGCCACATAATTACCAAAGTTCACGGGTCCTACTGTTCCAGCACGCAGGCCCGGCGTGGGCCTCCGTGGGTACTTGTGGCAGGTGTCCCTTTCAGCGGTACCCATGGACCGCGGTCTTCGAGAAAGCAGCCGACACGGTGCGCAGATTGAGAAATGAGGATGCTTGCTTTCTGGGTTTAGGGTTGAGGGTTTA